ACCTTCTGGGCTCAGGTGATTCTTTCACCTCAGCCTCCTGAGTAGCTGAGACCACAGGCATGTGGCATCACACCTGGCTATTTTTTTTTTTTTTTGTATTTATTGTAGAGACGGGGCTTCACCATGTTGCCTAGGCTGGTCTCAAACTCCTGAGCTCAAGGGATCCACTCGCTTCTACCTCCCAAAGTTTTGGGATTACGGAGTTAGCCACTATGCCCAGTCCATCATGTAATTTTCTTTTTTTTTCCTTTTTGTCTCATTTCATCTTGCAACATTGCCATCATTTGAAAAGAAAGGATATGTTGACATTAAGAAGGTAAGAAATAAATAATCTCAGGATAAAGAAGAGTTATCATGGCTGGGCGTGGTGGCTTACACCTGTAATCCCAACACTTTGGGAGCCCAAGGCAGGTGGATCACGAGGTGAGGAGTTCAAGACCAGCCTGGCCCACATAGTGAAACCACGTCTCCACTAAATAATACCAAAAAAATTAGCTGGGCATGGTGGTGTGTGCCTGTAGTACCAGCTACTCGGGAGGCTGAGGCACGAGAATCGTTTGAACCTGGGCGGTGGAGGTTGCAGTGAACCGAGATTGCACCACTGCACTCCAGCCTGGGCGACAGAGCAAGAATTTGTTTCAAAAAACAAAACAAAACAAAACAAAAAGAGAGGCCAAGGCGGGTGGATCACGAGGTCAGAAGTTCAAGACCAGCTTTGCGCAGTGGCAGTATCATTGCCAATGAGGTTTATCCGAGGCGCAATTATTGCTAATTGAAAACTTTTCCCAATACCTCGCCATGACGACTTGTAGTTGGCATTGGCAATTTTTGACAGTCTCTATGGAGACTGAATTATAAAAAAAAAAATAAAAAAAGAAGAAGTTCAAGACCAGCCTGGCTAAGATGGTGAAACCTCGTCACTATTAAAAATAAAAAATTAGCTAGGTGAGGTGGCAGACACCTGTATTCCCAGCTACTTGGGAGGCTGAGGCAAAAGAATCACTTGAACCCTGGCGGGGGTGCATGGAGGTTGCAGTGAGCTGAGATCATACCATTGCTCTCCAGCCTGGACGACAGAGTGAGACTGTCTAAAAACAAAAAAAGAAGAAAAAAAAAGAAAAAAAGTTCTATTAATTGAATTAATTTAGCTTTATGAAAAACTCATTACATGTCCGGCCTGGTGGCTCAGGCCTGTAATCTCAGCACTTTGAGAGCCCAAGGCGGGTGGATCACTTGAGGTCAGGAGTTCAAGAGCAGCCCAGCCAACATGGTGAAACTCCGTCTCTGCTAAAAATACAAAAATTAGCTGAGCACAGTGGCGTGCACCTGTAATCCCAGCTATGTGGGGGACTGAGACAGAGAATTGCTTGAACCTGGGAGGTGGAAGTTCCAGCAAGCCAAGATTGTGCCACTGCATTCCAGCCTGGGTGACAGATTGAGATTGTCTCAAAAACAAACAAACAAAAAAAGCCTACTTATTAAATTGTCATTATCTTTCTCACTTCTTGGAGAACAAGTGAAAATTTCTACTCTGACCTCTAGACTTCCAGTTGAATTTTTTTTTCAGTTGAATCTTCAAGGGTCTTTTAATGGTGGTTCTTTCTTGGTTCACGTTCTTTTCTGCCCTATATGTCTCTAACAGTATCCCTTGAATATGCACAGCTGTGAATTCCTAGTGGCTTAAGGCCACCTGGCCCAGTTCCAGGTCCTTTCTTTCTTTAGTCTGGTTCTCACATTGCTCTTTTCATACCTCTGTTCAGAGATTTATAAAACACCTGCACATTAAAAAGCCAATCATCAATTTACCTAATGATTTCAGTTTCCACATTACTTTCAACATCCCATTAAGCTAGTTAAACTGCACATTTAACTTCTTAGCACAATTATTGGCCCCAACAGGTTTTCATCTGTAAAATGGAGATTGACCTTAATAAGGAGAATTTTGAAAATGAATGAGATAACAAATTAATTCAAGCATTTACTAAGGATTGGGTTATAAAGATTTATAATAAAAAATATTGGCTGGGCGAGATGGCTCACGCCTATAATCCCAGCACTTTGGGAGGCCAAGGTGGGCGGATTACCTGAGGTCAGAAGTTCAAGACCAGCCTGGTTAACATGGTGAAACCCTGCCTCTACTAAAAATACAAAAAATTAGCTAGGCATGGTAGCAGGCACCTGTAATCCAAGCTACTGGAGAGGCTGAGGCAGGAGGACTGCTTGAGTCCAGGAGGCGGAGGTTGCAGTGAGCCGAGATCCTGCCATTGCACTCCACCCTGGGTGACAGAACGAAACTCTATCTCAAAATAATAATAATAATAATAAATGACTGTTCTTTGGCTGGGCGCAGTGGCTCACGCCTGTAATCCCAGCACTTTGGGAGGCTGAGGAGGGCAGATCACCCGAGGTCAGGAGTTTGAGACCCGCCTGGCCAACATAGTGAAACCCGCCTCTACTAAAAATACAAAAACTAGCCGGTGTGGTGGCACGTACCTATTGTCCCAGATCTTCAGAAGACTGAGGCAGGACAATCACTTGAACTCGGGAGGTGGAGGTTGCAGTGAACCGAGATCGTGCCATTGCACTCCAGCCTGGGTGACAAGAGTAAAACTCTGCCTCAAAAAAATAAATGTTCTTTGTCCCTTTTTTTTTTTTTTTT